TTTCTGTTTTTTGTTCTTTAGGGTAAGGCCCCCCCCCCCCCCCCCTCAAAAATGTCGAGTTTCGTCAAAAAAACGAAAATTGAGATAAATGCATAGCTGAATACCATAGTACCTGAACGTTAAGAATCCACATGATTTTCAGGTTTCGTTCTCCAAAAAACTGGGTTTTTCGCAAAAAAGTGCATTTTCGGCACGATACATAGATTTTTTCAAAAAAAAGATTTTGGAAAAAAAGATAATTTTTACGTCAAAAAAAGTATTTCTTAAGTGTTAAAAGATAATCAGATGATTTAGTTTATGTCATTCCGATCACATGATTATTGATCAGTAGGTTATTTTGTACAAACATCTAACAGTATTTGTATCTGTCAGAAAACCATTCTGATAGTTGGTCTAAAAATTGTAAAAAAATTACGTTACTCGAAACTACTAATATTCTCTGTAAATAGGCTATTTTCAACAGACGAAAATTTAGATAAATAACCGGCAGTATCTCGTCTCTTATGGTAACGCCTTGATAGGCCATTTTATCAGGTTAATAGATGTGTTTTTTATACAGTTTCATTAGAACTTTTCCTAGAGAAACTTCTGAAGAAGAAGGAAAATTATATCCTTTGACTAAGTAGAGATAATCACATAATACACAATGTTTCTCGAAAATTTCACAAAAAAAAAATTGTTTTACGTTTTTCTCAAAATGGTGGTGGAATTTCGTAGCCCCCAAAAAAGTAAATTATAATCCGATATAAAGTCAAATATTTTTTTTTGTTTGAAAGAGCATGTCAGGACGCAGTGCCTATGAGGACCCTTTTTTTGATAAAGCTTTCCTATTATTGTATTGAAAAGCGATTTTATAATATAAGCATCATTTTTTTGAGGAATTTTTGAGTGATTGAATTTGTGAAGCCTTTTTTGTGTACTCAAAAAGTGAGTACACTACTAAAATCGGTCTGTGTGTCCGTCCGTCCGTCCGTATACACGATAACTTTCGAAAGAAGAGTCAGATCGCGATGAAATTTTCTACATAGTTCAGTCTTAACAATATCTCGGTCGAGTTCGAAGATGAGCAGGATCCGTCGAGAAATGGCTGAGTTATAAAAAAAATTGTGATTTTTGACCAGACCATCCCTGAGGGGGGGTACAGGGATTTTTTCAAAAAAAAAATTTTTTCTCTGAATTGTTCACAACATATATAAATCGACTCAGTTTTTAACGCTGATTCCGAATCTGATATTAGTTTTGAACCGAATCATAGTTTTGTGTACTCAAAAAGTGAGTACACTATAGAATAGTCAGTGTGTCCGTCCGTCCGATTGGCTGTTTACATAATAACTTTTGACAACAGAGTCAGATTGTCATGAAACTTTCTACACAGCTTAGTCTTGACAATACCTCGGTCGATCTCGAAGATGAGAAAGACCGGTCGAGCCGTTCCTGAGTTATTGCAAAAATACCCATTTTTCTCTATAGCTTTCTGTGGAAAAATGGACCCATCGCGACTTTCGTAAAAGACTTTTCCTATCATAGTCAATTAAAACCCCAACTATTATATACCATTCGATAGAAAATTTCAAGTACTACTAAATGATATATAAAACATAAAGAACCAAGAACGTTGACTAACCTATCGCAAAGATAATTAAAGAGAACTAGGTTATATTTTGGTCCACAATCTAATTGATTCACAAATAGAGCTTTATCTTCCGATTACACTGATGATACTTCGAGGTTTTCAGGTATGAAGAACTCGAATGTGTACTGCACTTCCATCGGAATACTATTAGTTGTGCAGTGACCAATAGAAATGAAGTTATAGGAAAAACTACGTTCTTAGAGTAAATCAAGGTGCAGAGTTCAAACTTGAGCTGTATTCGATCTCATATCCTATTGGTTTGTCAACGCGCAATATAAATCAACATTTTAAATGGTAGATTTCCCAGTATAATTTTGATATTCAGACAGTCTAGGATGATTGATTTGTATGATTCACTTTTTGAAGTACACATAACTCTCGGATTTAAATCCGAAGTTTCCGTATTTATTTTTTATATATTATCAGTCTTTGAGCATCCCACACTCGTAGTGCAGAGTTGTAACTGGTAACGGTAAGCGGCCAGTCCAGGCCAGAATAGGTTTTATTTCAAAAATAAAACTATTTTTTTACTAATGTCAATGACTCTTTCTATTAAGTATGTATGTATTCATCAAGTTACTTCCATATCAAGTCATATTATCGAAAAAAACTGAAATCATTATTCGTCATTGTAATTAATTGTCTACTTATACCATATCTTTCGCAGAGAATAAGAGATAACAAAGTACATGTGTAGTTGATTCATCATTTTTTAATGTCTGACCAACATTTAAATGATGCATACGAAGCTAGTATAGAATTTGTAGCCGTATGAAATTTTCTGTCTATTGATAGATATCAAGAGAGAGAAAACTTTACAGCGCAATCTCTATGAGATTAAATATGATGGAAATCTCATTATCATACTCTTAAATTGTTTGGATCTACTTTTAGTTATTCGTGTGAATTATACCAAAATGTTGTAATCCACTCGTATGCATCGGTATCGAATTCTTTCATATATTTCAAATAAAAAACCTATTTTTTATCGATTATTTAAATTTATTTTATATGATTACTTACCATTATTTGTGTAAATTGATATTATTAAAATGAATAAAAAAGGAATAAAACGATGATTAAAAAATTTCCAATCCATTATTACCAAATATCACTTCCGTTTATCACTATTTCTATTTTGTTTCTAGAATATAAGTAAAAACAGAATAAGTCCACAATAAAATACGAAAAAACAAGTTTTTTTCATTTATCTTCTTTTCTTTCTGGATATTTTTGATTCTAGTATTTGTATATTGAATATTGTATTTGATTAAAAACATATGGTCAACGAAAGCCAATTCTTTTTTTTTAATTTAATTAAAAAACGAAAAACACGAAAGAATATTTGTATATCCAGTAGGTAAGCAAAACAGATTCAGTCGGCAATCAATTACAGACAAACATACCTACGCAATGTTGTACTGATTTAGAAAAACATTCGTAATTTATATCATAAGTGTCTCTTTTAAAACTAATACTTCGTAAATAGAATCTACATTTTTTTTTGAATGATAGATCGAAATAATATAGTAGCAGACAAAAGTTTAGAACAGTTGTAGATTTGAGTTTTCTTCTTGATGGTGATAGCTGAGAAGAATCTGAAAAAAACATTTGAGTAGCTGAAAGAATTTTCTGTTAGGATTTGTGAACCAGAAAACTTCCATGAAACAGCTTGGATGAGAATATCTGAAGAATTAAGATCCCGAAAGTCAGTTTTCTGATATCCATTTGAAACCTTTTGAAAACGGTTTTATTTGACAAAGCAAATAATTCGTCTGACACAGCGAAATCATTGAAATTTTTCATAAAACTAAAAGAAAAATGTTTCTTGGGTCTTCAGTATATTGAGTACAGTTCGATGAATACACCTGAGACATCTCGTTTTGTTCTCTCAAATAACAAAACTTCTAAAAACTTCAAATAGATGCTGTAGAATTAGTTTTGGGGGGTCTTGATTTTCCAGACAATTCTCAGTCAAGCTGTTTTATTGGAGTTTTTAGGCCCACCAATCTTGATAGAGAACCCTTTCATTTATTCAAACGTCTTTTATATTTTTCATAGCTAGCGCCATCGATAAGAAAACTCAAAAATACAACTTCTCTAAACTTTAGTCCGTTACTTTATATCATAGATCAAAAGTTATCATGTTAATATTTATTGAAATTTTGCTAAAATCTATATAAAAAATACAGTGTTTATTCTTATTTTTAGTCTCAAATAATTTAACATATTTCAAATGTCATTGCGAATGTGTTTTTATTTTTGCTCACCTTTTTTTTTAGAAATTTTATTACTTGGTCTTGGTTTTTCTTCGCAAACATAAAAAAGAATGTTCACAAATCGTTTCAATCTATTTCTTCTCTTAGTTCTACTTTCTACTATGATAATTATCAATCCAATTGCATGTATATCAATGAAAGAATTTGGCTCGGCAGTTGATAAGAATAGTGAATCATTCAAATTCATTGAAAGTTTAGATGACTACACAAACAATTTAGATTCTAACGAAAAAGATCAACAAGATGCATCCGATGATGACGATGAAGATATAAATCAATATGATAATATTAGAAGAAATATTATTAGAACCAATCAAAAGCAAAGATTTAAAATAGATCATCGATATAGAGATCTGGAACTTTTATCTGATTGACTTTATACAAATATTTATAATTATATAGAAATTTTTAGTTTTAAATTCTGAGAATAAAACTAATTTTAATTGATATTTAGTTCTAAATAATAACGAACAGAATAAATCATTTTAAAATGAAGATAAAAAAAAAATATAATAATAAATTGTTGTTTGTCATTCTTTATACAATTGTCGTTATCGCGAAATCAGTTCGTCAAGAAAAAATAATCAATATCAAAAAGAAAAAAAAAAATATATCAAAGACAAACATAACATATAATCGAAAATTGAGAACGATCTTTGTCATTTGTGCAAAGAGAATATTCAATGGCAGTCAATCCATCTGCACCTTGTTGCTATAATTTAGAAGAAGGATCTTTATCAGCAAGACAAATTATAACTGTAACTAAGTAAGATTTACATGATTTGTGAGAAAAAATATACATATTAATTTCATTGAAAAGTACAACCAAGAATAGTGATAATAAAACAACTACATTTACTGATATTATTCAACCAATGATTGTGGAATTGGTATGTAATTAAATCGAGAAAAAAAAATATTATTATTTAACATTTATTTATTACGTCTAGATTGGTACTATTTTCTTTATTTTGATTGGTTTACTTGGTTCTTGCAGTAATGAAAATAATAATAATTCTTCATTGATAGCTGGTCTTTCTTTTGGTTTTTCATTGATAATCTTTGTTGCTAGCCTTGGTCATATCAGGTAGTATTCATTTTCTATTACATTGTTGAATGCATTTTTTCTTTTTTAGTGGTGGTCATTTTAATCCAGCTGTAACACTCGGTGTATTGATTACTGGAGATATACAATTAAAAAAAGCCTTACTTTATATGCTTATGCAATTAATTGGTGGTGCTATGGCTGCTGGTATATTTCGAGTGAATAATTATATTTCCAAAATTTTTCATTTTTTACTTTTATTTTCTTTATAGCTTCTATCACATACATCTACGTATAATCGTTGTCATGGTGGAGCTACTTTTCTTGTAACAATAAAAACTCCGAAACAAGAATTAGGTGAATTTACTATGGATCATATTAATTGGTGGGAAGGTAAGCAAAATTCATTTTTGTTTGTAATATAATAATGTAAAATTTGATTTGAATAGGAATGTGTATTGAATTATTGCTTACATTCGTTTTTGTTACTATAATTCTCATGGTAACAATAAATAATAAATCTAAAAGTAATTTTGCTCCTATTTATAATGGAATAGCTTTATGTGTTTGTATTCTTGCATCGTTAGTATAAATAATATTTTTTTCATTTATTTAAAAGTTATTTTTATCTTACATAGAAATATGTTAACAGGTGGTTCACTTAATCCAGCTCGTAGTTTAGGTTCGGCTATATTTGCTAATGTATGGTCTCATCATTATATCTATTGGATAGGACCATTGATTGGTGCAACTATTGCCGGTGGTTTTTATCGGTATTAAATTATGTTGCTAAAGAATGAATCTATTTTTGTGTGTGATTTTCTTTTCTTCTTATAGATTTATATGGGGTACAAATGATCATCATATTACGGATAAAAAATAATGAAATATACTCTTTGAATATTTTGCTTGCTTTACTTAATCTTATATACTGCTAACAGCTTTAATATAGAAAGAACAAATAAAATTAGTAGAAATAGTGTCATTCTTATATGTGGAAAGATTTTCTTTTTATGATTGAATTTTATTTTATTTTAAACGAACGAGAAGAATTACGGACGTCTTTTTGTTTGATAATGTATAAGACAAAACTATTTTAAAATTCATCATCTTCCCAAAATATTTTTTAAAATGCATGAAAACGATAATCCATTACAATATAATTTTGATCTTGACATGTACTTCAGATTTCAATATTGAGTCAACAAAACTGCGTATTTATTCGGTCGAATTATATAGAATTCTGTTGTCCATCGCTGAATATATTTCATTTACTATACTCATATCAAAAATTGTTATTTATAAACATATGATTAATGAAATTTTTATCACAACACTGAAAAAAAAAGTTAAAATCGGCTAATCTTTTCTTCTTGATGAGATTATATTTTTTCATTAACAAATCTCTGTAAAATTATCGAAAAAAAAAAACTTTACAAAAAAAACTAAATTCTACCGCGATCAGAGTTATCAATACAGTCAGTATATAGAACTAAAGAGATGATCTTCTCATGCATTACTTTTGAATTTTCATAAAATAGAGGTGATCATTAGGGAACAGATTCGGAGTCCGAAATCCGATTCCGACTTTATCGGATCGGAGTTGGAATCAAAATTATAAATTTTTTGGAATCGGATAAGCGAGAAAAGTATTTTCGGAGTCGGAGTCGGAATAAAAACTTATGATGAATTCCGAAGTTTTTTGTTTTCGATTTTCCTTCTAGTAATCAAATCTGTTTTTCGAAAGTAGAATGCTGTTTATAGTTGTTAAGAGAGTAATATGATTTGATTTTAATTCATCAGTAAGTTTATTGATAATTGTGAACAAAAATAAGTTGAAAAAAATCCCGGAATTCACTTGATTTCGCAGTTTTCTTCTTTTGAACAAGTTTAACTGATTAATCATCGTCCTTTATTAGTTTTTCAAGCTGTATTTTTGATAACATCTTTTTATTCATAGTTTTTTTTTTAAACAAAGACAAATCTTATGAACATATACTTAGGGCTATTTCTCGTATGATTCGTTTTCGGTCGCTAGCCATTCATTATATATGATTTCAACATGTGTTCGATGTCGCTAAATCATGAACAAAAATTATCGGAATCGGAGTCGGAATTCCGAAAAATTTTTTCGGCTCGGAATCGGAACGAAAAAGTTCATTAGCGCTGATCACTAGTGATCATAGAACAAGGAAAAATATTTAGTACTGACTACATTTATTTTCATCGTAATTTTTATAACAATTCAAATGAATCACGCAATTTATGCTTTTCAAATGATGATATATTTATTTTGCGAATCTATATTTTGTCAAAAGTCCTTTCAGAAACTACTAGCACTCTGTACTAACCAAATCGATCTCAGTTGTTTTATTATAGATGATGCTGCAAAACTTTCTATTAGTAAAATATATTTTGAAATTGTTTTCTTCTCGATTAATTTGAATTCTTTTGAAATAAGTAAATCGAATTTGGGTAGAAAACACTCTCTACAATCGTTTATAACTGGAACTGAAAATCCTAAGCGTAATCACTGGTTCTTATGATTATCACGATATACCGGTAGTAGTGTCAACAAACACACGTCGTGCGTCATAGGCATAAACTGTGTATTACTTTTTAATAAATGATACATCATATACAGGCGACACTCTTCGATGAAATAGTATTTAAAATAATGGAGGTCGATTAAATAATTCAGAACGTCCGTCATGGCTCCATAGTATATATTTATTTATCAGTATATGGTATGATATGTAGCTCATACATTTTTTGTTCTCGTCGTTTTTTTCTTTTACTTTTATTTGAGTCCTTTAACCAAGGTTTTATCGTATGTAGTAATTTTAGATTGCAACTTCATCCGTTATTCAAGAATACTAACGAGAAGAAAAAAATGTCTACAGCTCCAACAAAAAAACAACCATTTAAAGTTGCTGATTTAGGTTTAGCAGAATGGGGTCGTAAAGAAATAACTTTAGCAGAATATGAAATGCCCGGCTTAATGAAATTACGACATACTTATGGTTCAACACAACCATTAAAAGGTGCACGTATTGCTGGTTGCCTTCATATGACTGTTCAAACAGCTGTACTTATTGAAACATTAATTGCGTTAGGAGCTGAAGTATAAAATTCAATTTTATATTTTTTTTTTTGTTGAAATAATATTTTTTTTAATTCATTATTAGGTTCAATGGAGTAGTTGTAATATTTTTTCAACACAAGATCATGCTGCAGCTGCTATTGCTAAAGTTGGCGTACCTGTTTATGCATGGAAAGGTGAAACGGATGAAGAATATATTTGGTGTATCGAACAAGTAAATATTTACTTTAGAAAAATAAATAAATAATTGTTTGTTTTTGTTTTCAGACATTATTCTTTGGGGCTGATAATAAACCATTAAATATGATTTTAGATGATGGCGGTGATTTAACTGGCATTGTTCATGATAAATATCCTGAATTAACAGCAGGTATTTTTGGTATTAGTGAAGAAACAACAACAGGTGTACATGCACTTTATAAAATGCTTAAACAAGAAAAACTTAAAATACCAGCTATTAATGTTAATGATTCAGTAACAAAATCAAAATTTGATAATTTATATGGCTGCCGTGAATCTCTTATTGATGGTATTAAACGAGCAACTGATATTATGATTGCTGGTAAAGTTGCTGTTGTTGCTGGTTATGGTGATGTCGGTAAAGGCAGTGCACGAGCTTTAAGAAATTTTGGTGCTCGTGTTATTATTACGGAAGTTGATCCAATTAATGCTTTACAAGCAGCTATGGAAGGTATATTATTTCGACAAATCTTTTGTCTATTTTTATAGAATTCAACTATTTTCTTTAAATAGTTTTTATGAATGAATTGAAATCTTTTTGTTAGACGGCAGCGAAAACATTTCTATGCTATCAGATATTTTCATATTTAATTTTCAATTAACATAAGTGTGAGATTTTTTTAATGTTTTTTTAGGTTATGAAGTAACTACAATGGAAGAAGCATGTAAAATTGGTCGTATATTTGTAACAGCTACTGGATGTCGAGATATAATATTATCTCAACATATGCTTGCAATGCCTGATAATGCTATTGTTTGTAATATTGGTCATTTTGATATTGAAATTGATGTTGCTTGGCTTGTTAAAAATGCAGTCTCTAAAGAAGTTATTAAACCCCAAGTAAATAAAGAAACTGTCTCAATAAAAATTGTTTCTTTTTAAACTTATCTTTTTTTTGTAGGTTGATCGATTTAAATTATCAAACGGACGTTCAATTATTTTACTTGCTGAAGGTCGACTTGTTAATCTTGGTATGTTGTAAATAATGAAAAATACTTTAGTTTTTTGTTTGTTTAATAATAGGTTGTGCTCATGGACATCCAAGTTTTGTTATGAGTAATTCATTTACAAATCAAGTTCTTGCTCAAATCGAATTATATACTAAACATGGTCAATATCCAATTGGTGTTTATATATTACCTAAGAAGGTTAGTTTTTTTTTAATTGATAAAAATTATTTATTTTTAAGTTCTTATAAATTTTAATTTTTAGCTTGATGAAGAAGTTGCTGCTGCTCATCTTGATCATTTAGGTGTTCGTTTGAGTAAAATGACAAATGAACAAGCTAAATATTTAGATTTAAATGCTGATGGTCCATTCAAACCCGAACATTATCGATACTAAAATTCTTTTATTCTAACGAGGAAAGCAAATGTGATTCTGCGGCCATTTTCTTTCGTTAGAATATATTCCAGTAAAACATGTTTTTTTTTTCGTAATGTTTGTGTTGAATAAAAAAGAAGATATACCATCATTATCATCATACACATATACTATTGAATTAAACAGATGTCATAGAATAAATGAATCAATATCATTTGTTTTTGACTTGGATTTTTTCATTAAAAGATTTCTCGTTGAATTGTTTACAATCGTCTATAAGAAAAACTGATATGACTGGTTGATTACGTTGTTTAATATGTGTTTTTCACTATAAAAACAAACAGTCAAACACACACTTTTGTTGCTTCTACAAATGTAATCATCTGTCGCCAAGATCTGTCTGAATATTTAATCGAGTTTCATTTTTTACTCTTTGATTAACATGCAATCAGACTTTCACTTGTGGACACATTTAGAAAATTTCAGTTAAAAAAATTTGGCGTCACTGTGACTATGTTCTATACTGACTTCCTTTGCATTTAAATATTGTCATTGTCATGTAAATAAATGATTGTTTTGCTAAGACAATGTGACGATAAGTTGCATGAAAAAAAATATGTGTATGAATTTTAAACAACTTTAACTAACAATGATAAGAAGAAGCATACTGAAAAATTAAGACGATTGTGACTAGATATGTATCTAGTCCGAGAGAGAAAAACAGCTAGCTATTGATAATAAATGCTATTACAAAATTGGTCACGTCGGCGCTGTAAAGCTTTTGGTGAAAAATGTTTTTATACTGAAATATTTTATAGAAGTATGTAAAGAATTCAACAAGAAATCTTTTAGTAAAAAGGTTCAAGTCGAAGTAATTGCCATTGACGAAGATATTGATAAAAATACTAGGAGATCCATTTATTCTGGAACATCTGTTGAGTTTACGATAATTAGATCTTTATTACTTTGATTTAACATGTTAGGTGAATCATGTTGGAAAAATAACTTTTTTTCTTATACCAAATTTTGATTTTGTTTCAGGATCGATGCTAGATTATGCTCACTCTAAGAAAAAAACAAGCGAAAATTTCGTACTAAACTGTACTCCAAGCG